TTTAAAGGTTTTGTGAGTGCAGGGATCTTTGACAAGTGGTTCTATACATACTCGGGGATGATTTTTTACATCATGCATCAGAGACTAGAGAGCATATTGGTACGAATCCGCGAGAAACCGGGCACTCTAACACAATAACAATCGAAGTTCACTTATGAGATTTTAATACTCATTTTCAATAAAATTTGCATGTATTAAAGATTTAAATTGGTTGTAATTATCCCAAGTTAATTCAGTTTTTTTGAAAATTGCCAACCATTAGATAATAATTCATATAAAGATTGAGCTCAATTTTTAATTGTATTACCTAGAACAATATTTTTCATTTTTCCTTAATTCAGTACACAAATAATAAATTTGTACAAAGAAATGCTATCCTCAATCCTTATCATCATGACCAAGTAATTGTAACAGATGCATTAATAATTTATATAAGAGTTTTGAACAAATTGAAATAGATGGGTCCCCATGATGTAAGGTAAAAAAATTCATATTTCTTTATGTGCTTCCACGTGTGCTTAATATAAATGAAGATGGTCATGCTAAAATGATGGACTTGGCTTGGATGATGTGCTATTGGATTAAATGCATCATTTTTTATGGTCAAATGTTTATTCAGAAACCAAAAGGTTGAAAGTCTATGCTTAAAATTTGACTTGTATACATCATTCATCTTTATTTTTGAAGAGAGACGAGGCATAACAGTTAAGAATTAAGATGTACCTCTTGCATTTTTACGTGAATAATGAATTTAGCATTTTAAAAAACCTTTGACTATATATGTATGATGTCAAATGTAATAAGATTATTTTCCTTATTTGTCAAACCAAATCATTTTCGAGAGTGTTAGGTCACGATGAGCTATTTCACATGTCATGCTTGGTCATTGGTAATGTTTTGGGTGAATGTTTTTTTATCCATAAGATTAAAATAGTTCTCGATCAAATTTTATCTTCAATCAAATTACCATTTTTTTTACACATCCCGTCATCGAAAGATACACTAGTTATTAAAGGACTTCAAAGATGAAAAGTGGGAAATTATGCCCAAATCACTGGAAACTATCAATTTATTTAAGATTTAAAGTAATAGGTAAAAAATTGTTAAATTTGTACAATTTTTCTGAATAAGAGCATCTCCAATGCTAAAACGTTAACAGTGCATATGTGGCATGGAAAATAACCAATTAAAAAACAATAAGTACAATATCTCTCTCCTTATTTGAAGGATCTTACCTCATTTTGGTAAGTTTTTCTTCACAATGTCAAACACAATGTCTAGATGTAGACATTGTGATTGACATTGCAGACAAAAACTTACCATAAACACATAAGACCGTGGAAAGAAGAAGAAAGATATTGTATTTATTGTTTTTTAATTGGTTATTTCTCATGCCACGTATGCACCGTTAACGTTTTAGCATTGGAGATGCTCTAAGAGTAGTCTCATGTGTCTTGTCTATGGTGCACATGAGGCACATATTGTCTTGTCTGTACTATTAGAGTAGTCTTTTAAAAAAATCTTATGCTCTTGATGGAGTTCACTAGAATCTCTTGTAGAGAACGTATACTTTATTGTTCTTGATGTGCACATTTTTGAACGGGAGAATGCTCCATCGTATATGTTTTTCTTTTAGATATTAAGAGATTATAAATTTGATCTTATAATTTATGATTTGATTTATCATTAGTCTTATGATGTGAGTTTTGTCTCACTTAAAATATGTAGCAGTATAGGGCTAAAGTACGCATATCGTCCTCACAATGACGGAAAAAGGACCGAATCAAGTATTAAATAAATTCAGCGTTTTAGAAAATTAAACGATGCGAAAATAAAGCTAAACTAAATGTTCTTAATTAATAACGGAAGGGAACACAAATTGGTTCGGGGTAATCAGTTTTCGTCTTTTCGGGGTGATCAAGCTTAAACACATGAAAATTATTTAATTGAACAACTCATGTCAATACTAAGTTCTTACCGCTCTCGCGGTGTAGAGTACAATAGTTTAAGAAACACCAATACGTTGTGCACGGCGTGCGGACCTTGCGTTCAAAATTCCTCAAACCCTGACTCATGTGCTTGGTGTGGGGGCCTCTCCGGATGGTGCGCGGACCTATAAGTGATATGCAGTGAAAGTTTCATCTATGTGGACTTAAGTTATATGGCATGGTTTGCAAGTGAATTTGTCAATGTGACAAACTTATTAGCTACATGGCATGAAATGAATGATATCGAAGTATTATTATATGACTAGTAACAGACATATGCATGAGACTGAATAAGCAAATTCCTCTATCACTTCATACTAATACACTTCCACTCATATGTACTAAAATCAAATACCATATTTTCCGAAATAGGGTAAAAACGTTTAGGAATTTAATTTAAAGAATCAGATACATTTGTAATAGTTGATGGAGTATATTTCCATATATCCCAGAGGTACCGGACATTCGCAAACGAAGGAAGTCTCCAGAACGCCAAGTCAATATTCCGCCGAGGCCGACCTCAACCCACCCAAGGTTGGCGCAACATCAGGTCCCCAAAACACTGAGATAACCCCAAAGCCGAGGCCGACCTCGACCCAACCGAGATCGGCGCAACATTGGGCTCCCAAATCAACGAGATAACCCCGAATCTGAGGTCGACCTCGACCCAACCGAGGTTGGTACCAGATCCGACCTCGAACACAGGCACGAGTCATCGGTAGAGCTGAGTGGGTGAGGTGATGAACTTGTGTGGAGTGGATAAGGCAGGGGTTCGACTCCCATGTGCATACATATTATATAATGTATAGTAATCATTTAACATAATTTAAATTCGGTTGTGATTGGTTCATAATAGACATTTATTCTATTTAAACTTCGGACCCTAGTCAATTCATAATCTCTATCTGACTTTCTTAGCTTAATTCATACCAAAGTAACTCTAATTGGAAAACCATATTGTTCATAAAATTATCCAACTTGATCAAAGTAACTTGATTGGTTCATAACTATGTCAGTCGACACCATAATGTTCACACACTCCTTGAAAATCATGTATAATTAATCAATATAATTCACAAAATTATCCAACTTGATCTAAGCAACCATCAGATCGATTTAGTAGAAAACAAAATTAACATTTTACTAATCGTCTAATCTAGTCATTGCAAGATAAAATCATTGCAGCGAACTCATGAAAACCTTACTAATTAGTTTAAACATAACTTTTTGTGCATTACCTAAAAAGATATGGGTGTAAGGGTTTTTATATGTTTGAAACTTTGAATAGGGAAATACAAAAACGTAACAAATGTGGGAGTGTTTGGTGCTAAGTTTTCTTTTTAACAAAAACAAATTTAACTATTATTAATAATAAGATCATAGTTCAAAAACATCATATATAATCCAAAGAGGAGGATAATAACACCAAATATAATAGTCAATCACAGGAGAAACGGCTTCACACGATTATACCGGTGCAAGATATTATGGGTCCCCGCTTCACATGAGAGAAACTAATACTAGAAAAACTAGCTGATAAATCTCTAATATGATCAACTATCAGCCCAAAAGAAGACTCATTTGGTTCTGCCTGAACACCCCTACTTAATTGTAAAACATCATGCTTCACGCCAACATATATAGTCCCATCTAGTGTCTTTTAAAGCATCGGACTCTAAGGATGATCTATAATTAAGGTGCTAATATTTCATTTATGCTATTAAAAGCTCTCTATAGTCCCTAGTACCATAAAATTTTATCTTTTCCAAAAAAAAATCCGTTTAAATATAAAATATAGACTTTTTGAATTAGACAATTAGTGTAAATTGTGGGATTATTAAGTATATCTAGAGTGAATCTCAAAAACCAGTGTGATCAAACAAAGATAGTATACCTAAGCAAAGATTTGACTTTTGGAAATAAAAGAGTAAATGCACCTTGAAGTCCTTGGTTGACTTCTTTAACTTCGTTTCTTCTTCTTTTCGGGGGATAGCTCCTTTCATCACCTTTATTATCATCCTTATTAATTAATTCTAATTTTGGTCAACTCTACTCAATCTTACTCTCCCCCGGTTACCTTTAATTTCTAGCTCTACTCTCTCTATATATAATATAGAGATGACCCCTCATTTGCCTTAGATCATTTTTCGATCAAGTTTAGATCGAAAAATACCCCGTCGTTTATGCGTTTATCTACGGGAAGAGTGAGATCGAAGAGAGGACTCCATATCTGATCATGGGAAGGCCACCTTGTTGTGATAAAGTAGGAGTGAAGAAGGGGCCATGGACTCCAGAAGAAGATATCACTTTGGTTTCATACATCCAAAAACATGGCCCTGGCAACTGGAGACATGTCCCTAATAATACTGGTAATTAAATCCATTCCTTCCATTTCCCTGTTGTGTAGATACAAAATGATGAATCAACGTATACTAGTATTGATATTGAATTAATCATCTTAACAATAATAAGTTGTTTCATTTCATCCTACCAACTTAGTACTCATCTTGTCTTTCTTTTTTTATCTCCATTGTTGATTTGTTAGACGACGTCATAAATTTCAGGGTTGCTTAGGTGCAGCAAAAGTTGCAGGCTCAGATGGACGAACTATCTCCGTCCGGGGATCAAGCGGGGCAACTTTACCGAGCAAGAAGAGAGGATGATTTTTCATCTCCAAGCTCTCCTTGGCAATCGGTAGGTGTATGGTGTTCAAGTTATCTCAACCGGTAGCTATCTCCGTCACGTCACATATAAGACTTTGAGTTATGATGTTTTTACTTGAACTAGAACTTTCTGGTCTGGTCTGATCCAGTCCGGGACCCAAAACAGTCCAATTAAAAACATCCTTACTTCCACTATTAGATTTAATTGAGTTCTTAAATAAAACTCAACTTTTAATAGGGAGTATACATTTACATTAAAAATAAATTTTAATTTGGCTGTTAGCTCAAACAGTTTTTCAGTCATCAAATGATATGATCTAAAAAAACCCAAGTTTTTTTGTTTTGAATCCCAAGTTTTGCGTATGAATGAGTAGGGTCAAATATTAAAATTGAATATAATTTGTTGTTTTGTGGCTGGTGGTAGGTGGGCAGCCATAGCCTCTTATCTTCCCCAAAGGACCGACAACGATATAAAAAATTACTGGAATACCCATTTGAAGAAGAAGTACAGGACGGCGCCGCCGCCGCTTCTAGGATACGCCGATGATGAGAATATTGAACCTAATTCTTCATCATCAAGCTCAAAAGGGCAGTGGGAGAGGAGGCTCCAAGCTGATATCGAATTGGCCAAACGAGCCCTGCGCGAGGCCCTCTCCATCGACGCATCAACCTCCGGCAGCAGCGAGCCACCGCCCCCTCGTCAACCGGCGATTGATATCCCGGCGATCGACTTCCGGCGGCCACCGGTTCAATCGCCCGCATCTTACGCAACGAGCGAAGAGAACATATCGAAATTGCTCCGAAACTGGACCAGGAATCCCTACCCCAAACCGGCGGCATCCAGATTTGAGTTTGCGATGCCGCAGCAGAGCTCATCGCTATCCTTCCCTCCGGCGGCCGGCTGCGACTGCTCGAGCTCGAGCCTGAGCAGCGAAGAAGGCACTACTGCCGCAACCGCTTTATTGAGTACTGCTCCGGCCAATTTCGCTCAATCGGTTGGAAACTCGGACAAATTGAACAGTAACAATGGAGTTATTGCCACCCTCCCGACGGAAAACTGGAACAAAAACTCATCAATTAACGGTCTGGGGACACAAATGCCCCTGGCAATCCTGGAGAAATGGCTGCTTGATGATGCTTATTACAGTGTCCAACCAGAAGGTATTAATCATAATCATGGTGATGAATTGTTGATGGAGGCCATAGGAATGGGGACTAGTACTGATCCTGCTCCTGGCTTCTTCTAGAATCTGTCTCTGTCTCTCAGGTGGAAGTTTTGGGTTTGGTAGTCTTTCTTCCCTTTTGTCCCCCTTCTTGGCATGAGTGAGGAATGTTTGTCAATGTTAGGGTTAAATTTATTATGTTGCTTGACTGCTTGAGCAGTTAATGATAAGTACTTTATATATTCAAAGTTAGGAAGTGTATAAATAATAAATCTCATGGACCTTATGGATATATGAATATGGTATTACAGCAGTTTAAAAAATTATGAATGTCATTAGCAGTTTAATATGTTATCAACAATTTGTTTTAGGAAAATTACATTTGTATACAAAATTAGTATACAAATTGCGCACACATCCACAGTTGTGCATACAGGCACTTCGTTGGAAAAATGACAGAATTTTACGTCAAAATGTCTGTCTACACAGACAATGTAAAATTTGTGTATAATAAGATTTACCTTTTGTTTTATGAATTTATTATGTCAATATCAATCGTCCTTATCACTACTAAAGAATAATTATGTGCAGGGCAGTGAGATGACATCTTCGAGCAATGAGTATTTGAGTGTGACTTAGGGTTGAAAGCTGTTTTGAAAACTATCAATAAATATTTTGGTTTTGTGTTTGAGAGAATCTATGATGACTAGCTTTGTTTAAAGCTATTTTATAACCATAAAAGTCTGGTCTGGTATCGTATGATCTGATCCGTTTAAGTCTGATTTGGTCCGGTCTGGATTAAAACAGTTCAAGTAAAAACATTCTTAGGCTCATCTCTTGTGTGGTGAACCCATATGCAATTAATTAAGAAATTTTTCCAAGCGACCATCTCCCTACACCAGTTAGGGTTTTTAGTTCCGCCGAGCTTCGTTCATGCGGTTTGGATTTTTATGGGACGTGAGCTTCAGGTGGCTTTCCCTCGGGAGTTTACAAACGTGAGTGGAACGCAAGAGAGGTGGTCAGGTGGGGTGCGGCTTGGATTTTTTGGGGCGAAGAAACACAAGGCAACATGATAGAGTTTTGTTCTGCACCTCAGACATGGATTTCAATGGCAAACCTCAAGGAGCAAATTGACGAGAGTAAATTGGCGAGCGCAAGATGGAATGAATGATAGGGTTTCAGATGAAATTTCGGGGGTCAGAATTCTCTTCTTCCACACTACAGCAGCTCGTCCTCCTGCACAACCATCTCCGTGCGAGGAAGTAATTTGGGGAAAGTTTTTATTCTCGTATTATGTTTCCTCCAGTGGTACTTTTTTTTTTATTTCAGTTCGAGCGGGTATGGTTGGGGTATTTTGATTTTTGAAGAATGTTTGACAGGCAGTGCTTTATTTTCAGTCGTTTTAGGCTCATTCTTGCATGTTTTGTGTCTAGCGAGTCAGGTTGCTTTGTATGGGTGAGTGACTCTAAGTCTATTCCTAGGGCTTACGATCGGATCTATAATAGTTGTCTCAATATTGCCTTATATGTTTGCTTTATATTAATGAAAGCTGTTGCTATGATAAAAATGAGTAGTTATGCACACGAGTGTCAAAAATTTAAATGAGATCATTCGATTAGAAAGTCAACTGAGACAACGTAACAAGTTTATTGGTCTTAAAGGGTTGACTTTGAAAATCGGTCCAGTTAATAATTTGGATACGTTGGATCTGATCCATTTCAACCTGTCAATTCTACATTTTCTGCCCAGATATTTGGGGATCCAAAAATAGGTGACCCCACCTTGGGAACATCTGAAGAAATCGTTGAAGATTTAGTTCGAGTCTAATTTTGTTCACACCTGAAGGCGGGTGAACATTCATCACTCTCTCCCTCCAATGCAAGCATTTGGTGTGACACTTATTTTTTTCTTAAAATTATTATAATTTTTTTTTATGTATAATCTAATTTTTATAATAAAAAAATATCAGACGTAATAAATTTTTATGATCTTTTCAATGATATTAAAATAAATTAAACACTATACACCAAAAAACTTATCAACATGAATTAAGAGAAAAAACAGCTAAAACTAAATCATCATACATGATATTTATGAGAGCTAGCTAGCATTTAATATTGTCCATCGTTCTAAGCAGAATTTTTTAAAATCAAATTATTATTAAAAATTTGAATTTTATCAATTCAGGACCCGAAAGATAGACGATCGAATTATCATTCCGAGACCTGAAAGATGAAATGCATCGATATAGGACCCGAATGATGAAAAACTATCAATTTAGGACCCGAATGATTGAAAACTATCAATCTAGGACTTAAGTTGTCATACATTTTATTATTATTTTTATTTTAAAAGTTTTAAATATTATTTAGTTCTATTAAACTAATAAACTTTTGTGAAGAAAAGTTTATCAAAAATTAGTAATGGAATTAATAAAAAATTAAATAAAACAAAACCCATGAAATGTTAGATCCTAAATTGATAGTTTTCCATCTTCGGGTCCTGCACTGATACGTTTCATCCTTCGGGTCCTGAATTGATAATTAATCTATCTTTCGGGTCCTGAATTGATAAAAAGAATTGAGATGAACTCGAGGACTAATTCAATCACAATGTGATTATGGAAATCACATAAATTAAAATATTATGAACTCACAAATAAAAATTATCAATTAATAATAATATGGGTGAGCACGCTCTGAAACTGTCCGATAAGTTACCAAAATCGGGCATGTATTATGAGGTTTTGAACGATTCAGTATGATTTGTATTTAGTCTTGGAACTGTTTGATATCATGTTCGTTACGGTACAATATTATACGGACAAATAATTTGAAAAACATTTCTTCAAGTTTTTATAGGGACACAAATAAGTTTGAAAATTTCAAAATAGGATTGTCATGTTTTTATCCTCGAAATACAAGTATTACTGTCAAGTTTGAAAAATACTGTCATGTTTAAAATCTGGTACTGCCAAAACATGACATTAATTACTCCTATTTTGAAAAAAAAACATGACAGTCCTATTTTGGAATATACAAACGTTTTTAGTCCTATTTAGGTAATTTCCCTTTTTCATTTTTAAAGTGAGATTGTCTTTCTTAAGGGGTTTTTACAAGAATATTACTAGAATAAAACTTAATCACATAAATATGACTATTCATTACTACAACGTAGTGTTGTGGTAACTTACGTTCAAAATTTGAACATGAATTACTATGATTTCATTACTACTCTAATAACTAGTCATATTTTTGTAAATCATCTTTATTTTGGTTATATTTATGTAATTACTCCCTTTCTTAAATCTTAGGTAACATCACGTCCCCAAAAGAATAATATATTAATATTTAGCTTCTTCAACCAAACCTAGACAGTCATATACATATACTATCGTATATACATTAATAGGAATAAGGGGTTATGTCTAAAATAATACTAAGTACTAAACAAAGAGCAATGGACAAAAAAATGACTTCTAGAAATAACTTTAGTCTTCAACCACCAACTTAGTCTTCAAAATGTTATGTCCCCAACTTATGTCTAAACCTCAATCACCAAGTTTTTTTTCATTTCACAGGAAAAACTTCTTCAACCAAACCTAGACATATATATATATATACACACACACACACATATATGTTTGTAAAAAAAAAATCTAATTCTACGTTTTATTTTAATAAAATATAAAGATGTCCTAAATATATAGAAGTAAAACATTTATAAATTTCAAAATAGGTCCGTGTTTTTTAATTCCTTAAATACGAGCAATTATACCATATTTTGTCATTACTAAACTTTAAACACGGAAATATTTTTCAAGTTAATAGACATCAAATACTCATATTTAGGGAATAAAAACATGACAGTACTATTTTGAAATTACGAAATGTTTTTATTCCTATTTCGAAAATTTTCACTAAAGTATAGTACGTATGAATTAATAGTGCAAGGAAATAATATAGGGAATACTAAAATTATCTACAATTTATTTATAAGTGATTAAATGAGGGTGAGTTGAGTAGAGGAAATTCAAGAGAATTTTACTCGCATTATTTAATGAGTCAAACAAGACCGACAACTTTTTCACATCCCTATGATAGTATGAACTGTATGATGTACTATAAGATAATAGTTCTAAATAGGATTAAATTAATCCCTAAATGCACAAATACGACTATGTTATTTATCTTCCCAAGATAGGACTAAAGTATACCCTATCTTCCTATCATACTCTTAATTAACATAACTTAATAGCTAGCATAATCATATTTTAATTTGTAATAAATAAAAATAATAATAAAAACAATTTAACTTATACAAAAATTAGTAAAAAAATATTAAAAATAAATAAAATAGATAGAACACGTTAATATATATATATATATATATATATATATATATATATATATATATATATATATAGAGTAATCTTCCGGTCAGGTATACCTGACCGGAGCCGCCGTCCGGCCTCCTCCTTTTGGGGGCCTTCCCGGTGGTATTTTTTGCTCAAATTTTTTGTGTATGTTCCTCATCAAGTCTAGTTCATCCATACCAAATTTCAGCAAAAAATTCAATCGGGAAGATCGTCAAATGATTTTTGCAAGTTAACTGGTCCGGAATATGTATTTTCCGGACCAGTTAACTTGAACAAATCATTTGACGACCTTCCCGATTGAATTTTTTGCTGAAATTTGGTATGGATGAACTAGACTTGATGAGGAACATACACAAAAAATTTGAGCAAAAAATACCACCGGGAAGGCCCCCAAAAGGAGGAGGCCGGACGGCGGTTCCTGTCAGGTATACCTGACAGGAACATTTGTGTATATATATATATATATATATATATATATATATATATATATATATATATATATATATATATGGAGCCTTTCCCACAGTTTTGGTCACTGCCCAGCCAAGTTTCCCTTGATCGGCTAAACAAATGATATTTTGTGTAAAAACTGTCATTTTTTTCTTTGAAAATACCGTGAAAAATGACTTTTTTACTCTTTGAAAATGTCAAAAAAAATCTCGAAAACTGCCATCAAGATGGCGTTTCTAAGGTTCTGGGAAGTTCCTGAGGTGGCAGCATAGGCTTGTATATTTTTTTTTTCATTTTTTAATTAATTTATTTTAATTTTTTATGTTTTTTTATTTTACCTTTTCTATTTTTTCGATTTTTTATTAATTTTATTTTTTTCGTGTTTTTTATTTTATTTACATTTTTTTAATTATAAATAAAGTTATCTTATTACTTTTGTATTTTAATTATTAATGAAATGTGAATTGTATTAAAAACAAAGCAAGTGCAGAATGGAAAAACTAGTCCTATGTTGGGA